TTTTCTGCCTGCTTGAGTTTAAAAAAAATCACATTTTTTTCATTTTTACAGAAGTTGGTGTGAAATAGTGCCCTTTATATTTTAGGTCTCTAAATGACTTTTGTGCTTTCCAGGTATTTTTTCAGAACACTTCTGTGGAGCTTGGGGGAATCTTCTGATAGTATTACTGGTGCTAGAGGTGGTAAAGTTTTGAAAAATTTTTCTACTCTCAGAGTTTATTTAGAAGGATGTAAGAGAAGACAGCTATTGTAGTTTGGGACCAGGCGTAACCTGTTTTCCGCTTTTCATGTACAGTTACATCTGAATTGTTAATTCAGTGCTTTTCAATAGGTACTGAAGAGTACGTTGTACATCTCTTTATGAGCAGAAGAATGCTCTTAAGTGTTTAACACTAGGAATTCAAAACTAGATTTTTAAGTAAGCCGAAGGTGTTTGTGACCTCAACAGAGCTACTTTAAGATGGGAAGTGGGATTGTAGGAGCTATTGCTGTCTTGATAAGCAAGGAGCCTAAAGGAGGTATATCACTGTTTATGTATAGGAAGTGTGTTTCATAAAGACTTAATAACTCTCTTTCTGGAAGTCTCTGGCAGGAATTGAAAATTAATTCCAAATTTTAAGTCCTGATTAAAGACCTCTCTATAACTGGAACTTGCCTAGGATGTTGCAGGTGAAAAACTGTACTTCCTTTAAACTTCTTTTAAAATTCACAGAATCACAGAATGGTAGGGGTTGGAAGGAAGCTCTGAGGATCATCTAGTCTAACGCCCCTGATAAAGCAGGTTCACCTAGAGCAAGGTGCACAGGACAGCATCCAGATGGGTTTTTAACATCTCCAGAGAAGGAGACTCCACAACCTCTCTGGGCAGCCTGTTCCAGTGCTCTGTCATCCTCACTGTGAAGAATTTTTGCCTCATGTTTAAGTGGAACTTCCTGTGTTCCAGCTTGTGCCTGTTGTCCCTTGTCCTATCTCTGGCCACCACTGAAAAGAGTCTGGTCCCATTCTCTTGACACCTCTTGACAAATTGTTTGGAGGTGCTTGCTCAGAGAAGCAAATGATGTGTTTTTCTTATGTTCATTTTTGGGTCTTTGCGGTCTGTTTAGGAAGATACTAAAAAGAAAAGAAAAATTGAGGCAGCAAAACCTACCTCTAGACAGTATAGTAAGCTAAATTTACTGTTTCTTTTCTCCCTTTGCAAATATGAAGAACTTCTGGTTTTGCAACAAAATTTTGGGTGAACTAAAAAAATCACCTTTTAAAATCACTACTATGCCTTTAAAATCACTGCTGTGGCTAATCATCTCAGTGCAGTCACTTATGCATGCATCATTGCCATCTTCTCTACCTTCCCCCTTCCTCCTGAAAGTGGACTCAGCCCTTGCTCTGCAAGTAGTGATAATAATTGTTACTAAGAGGGACCTGTTACTTATCCTTTTTGGAGCATATTTCTTATGGAAGGTGTCTAGTTTTTAATTGACTGGTAATGAACATGCCTAGTAGACCATGATACTGCTGCCAACTTACTCAATTTTATATCTCACTGCTACTAAGCTCTTAGAAGGTGACAGAGCAGCCATTAGTGTCTTTGAAGTGATGGGAAAGTGATTATATGCATATAACAATTGTTTCTAGGATCTACTATGGCAAATGTTACTAAATATATCTGGTAAGCGCTGCTGTTATCCATTTCCCTGGTTTTCAGTTTCTTCCTGTGTGTAGCCCATGTTCCCTTTTCCCCTTCTGGAAAGAGAATAAAATATACTTTCAAAAATTAAAGTTTTCTAAATAAAAAGAGCATGAACTTCTGGAAAGGATCGCTTTTATGTGTTAAGGAGAACTTTAAACCTGTTATGAACAGGTAATATATAAACAATACATCAATATACTTCAGTCTTAAACAACAGTGAGCCCCAAATAATAAACATTGAATTACATTATAACTTTGTTGGCTTAAAAGACTATGATCAGGTTTTCAATCTTAAGTCTTTTTTAACATAATTGGGTGTTTAAGCATCTTTCAGTACCATTTTCCTCAGCTATCCTCAGTAACCATTTTTGCAAAGCTGCTAAGATGTTATGCAGAGTGATGCATTTCCACTTAAAGCTCTTGTATGCTGTTCCGCACCTTAACCTGGGTATTGCTCCCCACCGTTTATATGCAGTCCTGTCAGACAAACAGGATGTAGCCTTTCTCATCACATACTTTCAGCTTCAAAACCTGTTAGAAAGGATTAATCCATTCCTTATTTCTGGGACTTTGGAAATACCCTGTGAGTAAGCTACAAAGCAGAGCCAGGGAAATTGTGGGTAATGTGTCCCGAACAGTTTGATTTCTAAAGATGTTTAAGCTATGCTTTCTGAAACCATGTGAGTTGTTTGCTAATTAAACCAAGCAAGAGAAGCATGAATAAAAGGGATCTTCACAAGCTTCCTGAAGGGATAGGGACAAGAATGGAAATTAATTTCCTTTTTTGACTTTCCCATGCCTATACTGCAAAACAAACTAATTTGATCTCACTGTTGGAGAAGGGAGATTTTTCTCGACAAAACCAATTTGGAAGGGTTAAACTACTTCTTATTCTTAGCTAATGGTATACCACAACTAGGTAATCCAGTGTGGTGGTGCACCTGAGGACAAGTAAGACCAATACCATGAATGCAGTACAGTACTTCTGATGTGTGTTGTCTCATGGCTGGAGTGCAGATGACTGAGCTGGCTTAAGTGGTCAACGAGGAAGGGATTGACTAAGATACCAACTCTCTAAGAGAGCCTGCCTAAACATCAGGTTGCCTCCTCATTTGAGGAAACATGCTGGAAACTACTAAAGTCTTAATAAAAGTCTGTGAGAACAGAGATGTCCTCTTGTTCTTTAGAGGCTTGATTAAAAAAACAAAAACAAACCACAAAAAAGCCCTCCAAACAACCCCTAAAACCACCACTAAACCCAAAACCACAAATAAAACCAAAACCAAATAAAACCTCCCGCAGTCCCGTCAGACTGGTGTTCTTTACTGATAGGTCTCCAGTTAAATGAAGTTTTACTAGCAATAGCTTCTTGATTTTGTAGCAGATGGTCTACTGCTTTAACTAGTCCAAATAAAAGTGATTCTTAATACTTCTTTCAACATGTTACTTTTTGGGTTGTTGTTAACACTTTAAAATAGAAGAAAAGAACTACCTCTCTTTTACCTTGTTTTTTACATGTACTAAGAAGTTGTCAAGCATAGTGATCAAATGAACATACTGCAGTGAAGGCTAGCAAGTCTTTTTATGAAACATCAGAAAATAAGTTCCTGATAAATGGTTGAAGAAAGATTTGGTAAACTTGTGACTTTATAGAATTGACTAGAGGGATTGTGATAAATTTTAAGAATTGACTTGTATATAAAAAATAAGTAAATGATGGCTGCATTTGCAGTTGGTAGAGCAGAAAAGTGAAAGATTAGCAGGTCCAGTCCAGAGTTCTTCAGTGTCAGTTATTTCTGTCTACATACATTTATAAATGGCTCAAGGCATGTCTTGGGATGGGGTTCTGAGAAATAAAAGTGTAGGGGTGCAGTAGTTGTCTAAATAGTAATAATAGTCATTCATATGCCAGTAGATGTTACACAGATATTGTTGACAGTTTGCCTTGAAGAGTCTTAGGACCTATGGAAGCAGATAAAATATTTTTTGATTGCTTTGAGTTGAGTTATTTTAGAGTAACTTGTGAAATACTGTGAGCTTTAGTCTAGGTATGATTTCAGTAGCTGTCAGCAGTACTGTAACAATTTTGCCTGCTCTTACAGGACCACTAGCATTCACCAGGTCAAACTCTAACGTCTAACTGAGCTCGTCCTGTTCAGACGTTTGCTTATCTGTCTTCTCTTTGATCTCACGAATTGAGTGGTACTCTATCTTTTTTCATGGTATCTACCTTCAGCAGAGGGATGGTGGAGCGTGACCAAGGTGGAGAGGTTTGTTCTGTCTTCTGTTCATATGCCCAGGCACAAGGAAGCAGGAAAGATGCAGAAAATCTGTTTACCTGTAGCAAACTAAAGGGGAGCTATAACTAAGCTAAAGGTGGTTTTGAAGCTTAATTTTCTAAATAAATCTGTGCTGAGCATTTTGGACAAATTAAATGGTTAGCTGAACTTGGACAATATTAATAAAACCATAATAGCTCTAACCAGAAAATATCTTAATATTTAAACTATGGGGAATTCATTCCATTATAAGGGATCTGTTTCTAAAATTGCTCACAGGTTTTTTGACAGATGAGTTAGTGTCTCATTATGATATTGATCTTATAGGCTGCTTTTGAAACAGATGGAGGTATTTTAATTCATTAATAGCATGTTTCTTGTTGGGAATTCCATGATCTTATTGATGCTGTCTGGAATACCTGGATTTTAAGCTCAAAGTTGGGTCATAAACACAGTGTTGGTTCATAATTTCTTTTTTTGTTCAAAAGCTTGACTAGAATAAAATACAAATTTAACTATAGTAAATATGAAATTGAGCAGTCTTTTAGGTTTTTTAATATTAAAAATGGAAACCTACTTACTGTTTTCAAACTGGGGGAAGAGAGGGGGGTGAATTTAAATCAGTCTTGCCAGTGAAACTTTTTTTTCCCCCAGAGCAGTGATACTCCTTTCTATAGAAACGGGAAAGTATTTGTGCCTTCTGCTGCTACTGTTTGTCACTGGTGATGCTGTGGCAGGCAGTAACTGCCCAGAACAACCTACAGTGGTTGAACCTATTCCTTGGGCTGCAGAACAAGTATCCAGCTAGCCTTTTTTGGTTTATGGGATGTGAGCAGAGCGGTCCACAGACAGCGTGATATAATGCAGTATGTATAGTGTGGAGAGACAAAGAGGAGAGGCTAGGTTTAAAACAAACAAACAAAAAAAGAAAAAATCCACTGTTGATTCTCAGTCTCCCTAACCAAATGTCTCCCTTCTTCCCAAACTATGTGCTCTGCTTTGTTCTTCTGGGGATGATGATACCACTGGGAACAGCAGCAGCAGTTGCAGGCTCAACATCTCTCCCATGGCCATGGACCTCCAGTGCCTCTAACACCACATCCATCGGGACTTCAGCCTCCAGGAATCCCTCCACTTGGAAGCAGTGCTGGCCTTCTTGCCCTTTCTAGTGCTTTGGGTGGGCAGTCTCACTTGGCAATAAAAGATGACAAGAAGCATCACGATGCAGAACACCACAGAGGTGAGAGGCATGGCAGGCCTGATTAGGACATTGTCAAATTTGCGCATTGCTGCAAATTTTGTGCATCTCTAAAGAATTCAAGTTATATAGAATGAGAAAAAACTGCTGGCAAACTTAAAAATGTCTGCATATATACCACTGAAGCAAAATTCAGCTTGGAATTTTTCAGTATTTTAAAAGGGGATCACTAGGTGTCACCTGCTCTGTAGTTTGCTGGGCATTTTGACATCCTGGTAAATGCTTAGTTGTTAATACCAGTGGCCTGCACCATATTGTGGAAAACTGTTAAACTGCATAATGGGTAATTTTTTCAAAAGCAGTAATGTTGTTAAATGGGTGGGTGGGAAGGTAGGGGGAACAAGATGTTAAATTTTGAAGTGAATGTGTTCAGACAAAATGTTTAGGTAATTGCATCTGTTACTTTAGTTTCATAGGCTTAAATTCTAGTATGCAATTAAATATTGGGCAAAATTGCACTTGACTAATTTTTGAAAAGAAAATAAGTTATTCTGTTATGAAATAAAACTAGGCTTTGTGTATGGTTAAACTGTAAATCATGTTTACAAAATACTGTAATTTTCAGGAAATCACTGTATTAGGAATGTGCAATGACTTATATAAATAAAAGCCATTTTAAAACTGTTTGCGGCTTGTGTTCTAATTTTTTCCCCCCTTTTTTATTTCTGTTCTTGCCTCTGTGTCTGAACGGGCATGTCTGTGCATTTCTTGGTTACTGCGGGAGCAGACAGAGAGCCAGGCACAGTAAGTACCAACATTCCTGGTAATGTTTCCACTTCTACATAATGTAATAATCAGACATTGTGCTGTTTGTCTGTTTTGTCTTCCTTTTAGTCAGTTTCATGATACTAGTCATATGCATTTTGTGTTGAGATATCTTTTGGCTTGTGCAGAACACCAGGTTATTGTTTGGAGAACAGTATGAATCATATTTGTTTCTGAGCAGAATGATTTTGGGAAGGCTTGAACTTTAGTTTGCTTATTGAGGTTGGGGGACAAAATGCAAATCCAGTAGGACAATGCAACTTAAAGTATAGCATTATTAGTCAGAGTTAAGATTTTTTCCTCTAGGAGTTTCAGGAATTAGAGTTGCAGAACAGGTGAGAAATTTAAAATTCATTTGTCATTATCGCGTTTGGCCCTAGGAGTTTCTTTAACTGAATCTATTTAAGCTGTGTACTGATGTCTTTACTGGTTAATTTGTGCTTCAGGTATAACATCCATAGCAATACTTTCTTTGCCTTTAGATATATGCTATAATAGAATTGGTCTAAAACAATTTTATCCGAAAACCAGACAAAGAACTACTTCGTTACAGCTTTTTATACTGTTGTGTTTTTGAGTGATACTTATATATTAAACTGTTGGAGGTGGGCATGTGCAACTTTCACATGATTTTTACTAGGAAAGCTGATTCTGCTTCTTGATGTCACAGGTGAATTTGGGCTCTCTTTTGTTTCTTTTTCTCAATTGGAAAAGACAAGAAGTAGGCAAAGTTATTTGACATTTATCTTTACGATACTAAACTTCTGATTTGTATTACTGAGCTTTTTTTAAATATACTAAGGCTTGACAGTCATTTACTGGAAACTATCTGTGTATCTTTTGCAGCAGTCTTTTGTTTCTAGATTACTATGGAGGAAGCATTCATTTCTGCTTGCTTAATGTTATCAATGACAATGTAACTATGGAAATAATTTTAAGCTGGGTTTTCCTGAAACCTTATAGTTACTGTACTTCTTTGAGTGCGACATTTTCTTTGAGTGGGACATTTTCTTTGAGTGATGTTAGTCAAGTGCAGGATTCTCAGCATCTTTTCTTAAGAGCTAAGAAAGGAGGTTTGCAGTGTGTGTCTGTGTCCACACACATGCACATGGGGAGTAATGGCTTTGTGTTTTACTTTGGTTGTTACATTATCTCTCCTTGCCCTTTTCCCATCCTCCCCTGCCCTGTCTGTCATGGACTTTGCTAAAGGGTTTTTGAGTTTAAAATCAGATGCTTCACAGTGCTGTGAAATTTGGACTCTGAATTCATCTTGTAGCTGAGAATAGTTCTTGCCTATGGAAGGAGAACTGTAAAAAATTAAACCCGGCTTTTGTGTTGTGTGAGATTTGCATTATCACTTGCTTAGTTTACTAAGTTTAGTAACTTAAGCTTAGTTTACTTATGTCAATTTTATTTAATTAAAGTACATAAAATTGTTGCTACAGTTACTTCTGTCTCTGTATGTGTAACTCATGATTGCTTGGCTGTTATCTGTAGTAGGTTTTTTTATGCTGGGTTTACCACTAAGGAACCTTTAAACAATCTGAGGCTTTATTTCATAGAAGAACTTTGCTGTATGGATATATTGAGTTCAGGCTACTACACTGTGGGGGCCATATTTTCTTTTCAGTCCCAGTGGGGAATACTACTTCATAATTAAACTTTAATAGTTTAATAGCTGAATACAGGTAAACTTGAATTTAAAATTGTTTAAACTATGTTGCATTAGAATCTTGGCTTAACAGTAAATTATATCTTCAATGAAAGAATCATAATTCAAGTGATAGTCAAGTTCAGATCTGTGGCTAAAATGATCAGCTGGGAATGATTTATTCTTTGAACTTCTCTAATTTTCTTATATTTTTAATGGATTCCTTATTAATTTAAAATATATTTTTAAGGATTAATGTAAAATTGGTCATAAGTACACAAGGCATACAAGCATGTCTGTTTAATTATTACAGGTGGTTCCAACTGAGTAGAAAGGCTTTTACTTTCCAAATTACTTTGACATCTGGGTCACCAAGATAAGGTTAATTTTATTTTGAGAGTAACATTTTAAGTGTAATGGTGCTGCCAGAAATCCTGACAAAGGCTGGCTTTCATCATCCAAGACACCAAAACCAATACTGTCTGTTAGTTACCTAAATTACCATGATATTTGGTATCACTGTGCAGTTCTACAGTATGATTTCCATCAAATTCTGTGACCTTTCAGTAGCATCAGTAGAAGCTGACAGTTTTAAATGTGTAAGTTTGAAAGACTACAATTTATTACTTGCCTGTTTGGTTTTGAATTGAGGGGTTTTTGACAAAACTTTGAGTTAAAGTGTATTGTGACACGGTATTTGAGCATGTTCATTTTTAAATGAGATCTGTTGGGTTTTTTTTTTTTTATCTCCTTAGGCAGTTAAGGAGTCATTAACTTTTATGTATTGTATGTTTACATGTATGCTTCTTGGCCTTTATGAAGAGAGTATTGTTTTCCATTATATAGCTTGTAATCAAAAAAACTTGGATTTCTTTATTCAGTTGTGTCTTTTATTGACTCTGTCAACTTGAAGACTGTAAAATTTGACTTATCTTTATGGATGCAAACCATAAATTAGTTTCAGCAGAAGCTACTCACACAGAAGAGCTATGGGATACAAAGGAACATGAGGCTGATGACAAGCAACAAGAGGGTTGGGGTGGTCTGATATAAATTTTTATGGAAACTCTGATTCTGACAAATATTAGCTAGAAAATAGCAATATCAATGTAAACTTTATTCTCTGTTAATGTCTCCCTATTATTGCATCAATGTGGAGAGTGAATCAAATCCATTTAAGCTTCTAGATTTCCTTATTCCTAATATAAACATGCTAGTCTAAATATAACTTAAAATGGTGGGTGAAAAGAGGGCAAAGTCTGTAGCTTTCCATTGCTGGTAATTTAAAATAAAACTCCTGACTTTATAATTCAACGTTTAGATTGTTGTCATGTGTGTTTTCAAGAAACATATTCAACAAATGGAAGTTAATGATTCTTGAGTTGAATAACTTTAAGTGCAAACTTCTGTGCTTCCCTGGGGGATGTTCAAGTGCTAGTCCCTCTTCCAACCGCCACTGTGTTCCTATGAGTGAGCCCTGACAATGAGCAGTGGGACTGCTGAGCAGATGATGTTTTGGTTGTAGATGTTAGGCTTGATCCTGTTTTGCCTACTCAACAAGGGATTGCATTTGTTTCTGTCTACATATGGAAATCTGTAGGTAGCACTTCTGTGTGGTGCAGTGGCACAGGTCCAGTGTAGGGGTTAAATGAACACAGGGGCCCTGCTTGGTGGTAACAGCAAGCGCAAGTTGTCAGCTATAGTAACTGGCTGTGAAGGTAGGTGGGTGCAGTTGGTTTGGATCTACAGTGAGTCAGTGAATGGCCAAGCACAGAGCAAGTGTGTTGTGTTTCTTTGGGGGAAAGGGGAGTGGGGGGGATAAGGAGCCTAACACTAGAGAGAATCTGAAGCGGGACCAGGTGATGTTGAACCATGTGCACAGATGTGATGTAAATACTGTTATTCAATTGCTGTAATGATCAGCATAAAGTTAATTGTCAGTTCTGTATGTTCTGGTGAGTTGTCTGTGCTGTATTATAACTGAGGCTAAATGAGATACTTTAGGCTCTCAGCCTCTACTTCTGGCACACCTACTTGGTAGTTTGGAAGTAGTCCTTATGGGGAACAGCACGGCAGTTGAAGTGCATTTGGATAATGTGCATCATATTCCTAATAGGGAACCTGCCTCCTCTCTCTGTGCATCATGACTAGGTTTTCATTTCACATTTGCTGCTGGTGGTTTCAGTGTTTAACTTTTGCTGGCAGCAAAGTTGCTTCAGGATCGTGAGTTGACTGTTCTACAGCCCTTATGCAGTCTGTTAACTGACAGGAAGCAGTGATACATTAAGCTTTTTTTCCTCTTTCAAGCCTTACTTGAAGAAAAGAGATTCATGTGAATAAATTTTGAATTATCGGAAGAAAAAGAAAACATTTACATAAAACTGGTTTTGACCATTCATGATTCACAGATGTTGCATTGGTAATCCCTAATAAACTGAACTCCTAGTATGAAAGCAAGGATTATCCTCAATTATGCGTCTAGTCTGTTGAAATTAAGACAAAACAAAAACTGATGTAGTGCAATTTATCTGTAGGAAATCGAGTTTGCATGTATATATCTTACTGCCCTTTTTGTAGAAACTGATTATTGTTGAAGGTCAATCCCAACTGAAAATTTCTGTAGCATTATTTAAAAAATATTATAGCTAAAATAAATATGCTTCCCCTAGTTTTGAAAATAAGTCAGATGTTAGTAGGCCTGAATTACAAAGAACTAAATTGATTTTTTATTTATTTATTTATTTATTTTATTAAGAGAAGATAAGGAGAACCCTATAGTTGCAAAGCTGTTGCTGCTCTTAGCTGGCCCTATGCTTGATAGTGAACATATAGCAAATGTAAACTCTGACAGCTGAAATGAGGAAAGGTGGCTTTAAGTAAGCTGTCCTCACTGTACCCTGAACAACATTATGTCACTAACAGATGTCAGTAGCCCAAGGCTTATATGATCATGTCTTTCACAGTTCTTGTTTGAATTTTCATTTATTTCCTTTGTTGCTTTAGTGTTCTGGATAAGCACTGTTTTAAAAGATGCATATTTTCATAATGTTGAATGAAATTTTACACAATTGGTGGTTTGAATTATGGTAGGTTACAGTAGCAAGCTATTTTTTTCATAAAAAGTTATACTTTACCTGATTTTAGTCACAATTGTCACGTACTCCTAAGGGAAACAAAACAGTAACTTTTTAATTATTGAGTTTGCTGTTAAGTTTTGCCAGAGTAACAGCACAGTCTTGTTTGCAACTGCCAGTATAGCTATTGTGAAATAAGCTGCTCTACAAAAGCTTCTAGCATGGATGCTCTGATTCCAGAGAACAGTGCTTTGAATTAACGTGGTAAATTAAAGATCCGCAGTGCAAGAATTACCATAGGGGAGACGTTTTGCAAATCAGGGTTGTGAGGACAGTAGATGATTATTACATGTTTATGTGATAACTAAGTCTTTTGAGGAAGAATCAAATCTAATAATCTTTGTTTGGCATTTAAAACACAGTGGGAGTGAGGTGTACCTAGGAGTTCCTAGATATTTTTCACAGTATTGAAATTCTATAAGGCAAACTGTACAGAATATTATCAGCATTGTCTAAGTAGACTTTACATTAAAACAGAAAAAAAAAATATAAGCCATTGTAGTTACACATATTTGATGCCTAAATTTGCAAGTTGGTCCTGGCACTTCTGTGTAATAACTTCAATAGCAGGGTTGCTAATTTTTTCCCAGCTGCTACCCCTTTGCCATCTTTCCATTGTTCATGCTTAATTTTGGCAATTAAAACAAGGAACAGAATTTATTCTTCTACTACATTTGCCTTCATTGTTTTCCTCTAAGCTCTTCAGTAGTAAAATAGATTTTTTAAAAATATTTTTTTGTTAGGGGAAGTATCTCTTAACTAAGACTTTCCTCCTTAAGCAAAGACATTTGCAGTACTCAAATCTGTAGTCAAGTTTGAATTGACACCTTGCTTCTTAAGATGTTTCTACTGCCACAGACATCAGACAGGAAGGATTCAATATTAAAATGTTGAAGATGTTTTGTTTTGTTTTGTTTTGTTTTTTTTCAAACTAGCGAATCCCTGAGTTTGTGTGTATCTGGGAGGAGATGAGGGGTTAAATTCAGACTTATTTGTCAAGGCAATTAGTTCAGTGATCCAACAAGCCCACCTTTTAGCTGCAATAGATAGTGGTAAAGACATTATTTTCAGCTACTTTATAATGAATTTCATTAGACCCTCCTATATGCTTTATGTAAGTCCCTTTGGCATTTGTTTAGCTTGAACAGTCATGAATAAAAGAGCTTAGAGTTCATTTTGAAGTGCATCTTCTGAAGTAGGAAAAAGGTTCAGATTGCCTTATGGACCCCATTTTGTTTTCCTTCTTCCTGGGACTAAACATTAATGTCTGGGTAATGTTTTACCCTGACATCTTCAGGTTTTAAAGGGGAAGCAAATCAGTACACAGTTCACTGGCTATTAGTATATGTTTATGATATATTAAGAATAAATATCTCTGGCTCTTGGGTAGATCTAAGTATTTCCTTTGAGGGCTTACACTTATAGTATGTATGTTGGTATTAGGATTTTCTCTTGCGAGCAATATGTGTACATGTGTAAATAATTATTCACTTCTATATTTATGTGAGCTTCTATTTATTTATGTAAGCAGGTACTTGGCTTTTAGGATCTAGGCTTACCAGGTCTTTGTTAAAGGAGATTTTTTTTTCTGAACTCTTTCAGTATTGTTCACAGCATTAACACATCACTGAACAAATTGCCCTCTTGCATATGCTAATCCTGCGCTTAAAAGAGCTCATTGTAACACGTTTTAATGCTTTATCTGGAACGGAGATGGAGATGGGAATCAGGCATGTCAAATTGTCATGTGACTGAAAAATGTCTAAAATGCTTTTTTCTTTGGGTCAACACTTTGTACTTAGCATAACTTAGCAAGAATGAAAGCAGTCCATGAAGTCTGACAAAAAGATTAGTCTTTTGTCTTTTGTGTATGTGTGTTGGCCTCAGTTTTTCAGATCAAGTCTGATTAAACAACACTTTAGCCTTAATTTCACACTCATAGTGAATGTTATGCTGGAAGTAAAAATATTTGATCTTTGTTTGCGGTACATTTGTTGAAGGCATCCAATTGGAGTTTATCACAGCTAACAAATGATTACTGCATAAACTTATTTGGTACATATTTATTATTTTAAGTATTAAAAGCAAGTTGCCATGTATCTATCCATGCGTGCAGGTGTAGATATACCAAAGCCTCATCTATTTATGATGATCTAGAAGTGAGCAATCAATTATTACATTTAGTAAATGTCTTTCATTATATGGGACCTCTATATGAAAATAAATAAATAAATAATAGCTACCTGTTCATAAATAAACAGCAAGCCTGCTTCTCCTTAACAACAAATTCAGTTGAATTAATTAGTTAAATAGATGGTGACTGACAAGTGAACTAAACTTTTGATAAGTTAAACAATGAAAAGCCAGGCTTCTTAGAATGCATGAAGCTGTACGTGTTTGCCTGGAGGACTTTGAGTTGAATTAAATGGAATGAAAGACTGTGTAGGTATGACATTTCTAAAGGATCTGTCACATCCAATTCGAGTTTTTAAGCATATATAAAGGAATCTTGAAAGGAATTTTCGATTGACCTTGTTTTTTGTCTTTACAGAGTAATTCTCTGTTGGTCCCGGACAGCCTGCGAACCACAGATAAACGCAGGAATGGCCCTGAATATACGAATGACATCAAAAAGAGAAAGGTGGATGATAAGGATTCCAGCCACTATGTAAGCAAATCTATGTCAAATAAATGATTAATTTATTTGCACATACTGTGCTTGTATGAGGCATAAAAGAGCTGTGAAGAACAAGGCAATGTGTTTCCTATGGCTGATATAGAACATGAGTGTATTTGCCAGAGAGACCATTATTCAAATTGTGGGAAGAGCAGTGGCTCAATAGTTTGAGCTGTTGTCAAGTAATACTCCTGAATGGGGAATAATGAACCAGGAGTAGCTGTTTGGGATTCACAGGTGTGGTGGGACATTTCTCAGAGTTGGAGCAAAAGATCCTTTCTGGACTGCTCTAAAACCTGCAGGTTTGTTTGAAATGGAGGATTTTGTTGATTTGAAAGGGGGGTTGTACATTTTTCTGATACTAGCTATTACCATGTTGAGTAATAATTACTACTGCAAATTGCGTATGTTCTGAGGCTTAACCAACTTACTAAAATCTGCTTTTGGTTGATACGGCAGTTTCAGTAGAAAGCAAGTTGAAATACAAAAAGTTCACAGTTTGTGTTCTGCATTTTTTACTAGCTTGCTTGTTGCTTGGTTTCAAAGAGACACTTCAGTACAACAGAGTGGCATACGGGAACCTCAAAAGGTTCACACAGGTTTTCAACTTCATCTAAATGCTCAGCCAAATCATAGGATAATACTTTAACAGGCTTTAGAGACTAGGACTGGTGTGAAAGAGTACTGAAAAGCAGAATTTAAATCTAGCGGAAGATACTATTCTGTAACGTAGCAATAGTGTGGGAAATTGTCTGGTTTATATGAATGCAAGTACTAATTACTTTCTGGTTACTGAAACAAGGTGAGAAAACCAAGAGAAAATCAGATGCTACTTTATTTCCTCAGTATCTGGTAGGATAATTTCTCTCCACATTGACCCAGAATATCTCTGAGCAGCTATTGGATATCCCTGAAGCTACTGAAAGTAGATGGGATCACTTTCCCCTTTTGCGCGTTGTGGCACTGTACAACTGTTTTGCAAATTGTATTTCCACTGCTTTCTAATAATCTTGTTTTGATTACAGAAGGGTTTGGCAAACTTGCTCGTGTTACTGTATCAACTTTGAGGGTTTGATATTCTATGGGAATTTTTAATTTTAAATATTTGAAGATTAAGCATTGTTAAGCTACATTTTATATTTAAAAAAAAAAAAAAAAAAGCTTAACTTCCTTGCTTTTCTTCTATTTCTCCTGAAAAGAAATAGAAAGGATATTGCATTGTAGAAGCAGTTTGTTTTAATCCACATTTTAAATGTGCAGTTCTCTTTGCTGTTCACTTGAAATGGATTTTACAGATAAAGGCAGCATCAAAATTAAAAAGTGAGCAAAACAAGTATATTTGAAAGGAAACTTCCAGATTTATTCTAATCTGGAAGAAGATCTTTCTTTTTAAAAGTTCCCCAATTCTGCAAACATGGAGCTGCTGATTTCAAGCTCATTTTAGATGAGGCCCTTGTAGGGACCAGGAAGTACTGCTTTTGTCAGAAGGGAGATAAAAAAGTGGGAGGAATTGTTGCTCTTGGAAATAACACGCAAAATCCTTTTTTTTTTTTTTTTTTTTTTTTTCCTTTTTGACTTCTGACTAATTTTCATGTTATGACCTATATAGTTTCAACCTGTGGGTTTGTTAGTGAGGAGAATCTTCTGACATTAATAGTACCTATTGGACATGCCTTTGATAGTCCCAGTCAATTTCTTACTTGTCAAGATGACAAAGTCAGTGGAGTCCACTTAATCATTGCTTGGCAGCTATTTTTGCCCTCGTCAGGGGTGGTACTTCTGTTAACAAGTGTCCCACCTGCTGTGCTCCCACATGCTCAAAATATTCTAACCTATTCTTGCTTTGTGGGTGCTTCATAATTTTCAAGAGGTGGCAGATAACCAGGGCTGAAGCTTTCCTGTTCCTTCTCATGAGTGGCAAATAGAGCCACCATTCTGTCTTCAGGGGTCCTAATATGTTTGTGGTATTTCTTGGATCAATATTCATCTTCTAAAGCAGAAGGGAAGGGTTGCAGCTACCTGTTGAGTTTCTTTTTTTGTTTGTTTTATTTTATTTATGGCCTGAAGTGAGAGGAAGGAACTGGTGTTTTACTTTCTGTCTGCCAGTTTTAAGTGTGATAGCCCACACACTTTGAAAGCAAGAGGTGGGGCAAGTTTGAGCAATCTCATATGTCCAATTTGTTTACCTATAAACTTTTTAATTAAAAGTATTGTTACTGGAAATGTCAGACATGCCTACATGGAAACTTTAAGTTTTGTCATTCATCTTATTTTGTTTGTTCATTTGGTTTTGTTTCCAAGTCAAGACTTGCCTTCTGGTTGAACCACCATGGTTCACTGGAGAAATCACTAGACCACTTTGTATCATCGAATATGACTGCTGGGGCATCCCTGCCCATTTTGGAAGTAGGGACCAGGAGGCACTTGATTAACAGCTATCATGAGTACTAGAGCAGCTCAGGTGAACACAGATTTATGTGAAACAGTCAAAATGCAACTTGACAAACCACAATAAAACATTTCTGTTTAGGAATGCCAAAGTGATTTGGGTTTTTTAGACAGAAATGTTGAAATGCCTTGGCACTTCTGAAGCCTTTTCTTCTGCAGAACTTTCCATTTCAAAACTTTCCTTTCTGGAAAAGAAGAAAAATTGTCATATCACTGAGGAAGTTGATTCATCAAACAGATGCCAAAACGATACACTTTTGAGATCTGTTGTTTTTTTTAGGTATGCACAAGCAGTAATTTCCATAAGAATAACATATAGGATTAGCATATGAACAGAATGAGTTTCTCTTTCAAGAGTAGTGATAACACTGTTAATGATGGTAAGAAGGAAGGGGTTTGGACCATCTTGCACTGATGGTGAGACCACCACCTTTCAACTAGTTCTGCCTTATTTGGATTTTGTTATTGAAGCAGAAGTAAGGTTTTGTTGTTCCTGTTTTCATTGTTTTCCCTATTGCTGATAAGTTAATTAAAGGCTATTTGTTTTTTGTTTAAGAAAAACAAAAAATGTCTGAGTACATATGTAGTCTATCTCTCTGGGCTCTTAATGTACTAATTGAAATGAACATTATATTTATTTATTTTTAATAGGACAGCGATGGGGACAAGAGTGACGATAACTTGGTTGTAGATGTATCCAATGAGGTAACCTTTTTTCATTTTTGTAGTCTTGACATTTGCCCAAAGGTTAAAGGAAAAGTGCATTTAGATATTAGAAGAAAAAGAATCCTCTGTATGGATATGGTCAAATAGTCAAAACTTCTCCTTCTTGTTAGTACTGCAGATACTATGTCTTCTTCTGAGCTTTATCTGTTTGCCCTCTCAGTTTTTCCTTCTGCTGCTTTGTCCAGATCTGTTCCCTCTGCAGTTATGTTCTGATGCTTCACAGCTGCTCTGTAGTGGAGAGAGCTGTGGTGAGGTGCAGGTGGAGGGCTGAGAATTTCAAAGTACTGTCTTCAAAAGAAAAAGGAAAACAATACCTAACCTTGTGTTTAACAGTAGGAGTATTTTTGAAAACATTTTTGGTGCTTTAAAAATTACTAGTATTTTAATGTCCTATGTTAAAGACAGCATTTTACAGAAATGTTTGGTTTTTAGAATGAAGTCAGCTGAAGTCAGAATGAAGTCAATCAATTCCCAAAATTTTCCAGAGATTGTAGCAACTTAATTTCTCCAAGGGCAGGAATTTGGCAGTGGCATCAAGGTGAAGGGATAGGCCTTCCTTTTCTTCGTCTTTTATTTTGTACAACAAAGATATTTAGGAAGCCTGAATATTGCAGTGAGGTTCTTCTGTCCTGTGAAAAGCACAGGGAGAGAAGTTGACAGAGCAGTATCTTCGGCAGCTCCAAGTGCCCAAATGCTGTCAGCCAAGTAGAAAAATGGGTATCCAACTAGGGATTTTAGTAATCCTTTCAGAAGCCCCACTTATAATGAAGCTGCTTAATAATTAATCAGTAGACTTGGTGCCCTCTTGTGAGGACTGCTTCCTCCCTGCTGCTGTTCTCATGAGACAAAGGTGCACAGAGAACCTGCAGAGCTCTTATGGCATTTCAGGTTAAAGTAAAGGTAAATGCAGAGAGAGCCTCTGGAAGAGAGAAGGATAATCACCCGAGAAGTTATTTCAGTTTTTCCTGTAGATTTAAGAATCTGCGAGGCAATTGCAGATGGTATTTAGAAAGAAATTACAGATATTATGGCATATAAAGCATGCACCTTTGTCTATTCTTCTGAAGATAGAGATGAGCAAGGTTCATATGGCCTGAAAGAGATTACTGAAATGTTTGTTGTCACTAGCAGCATGTGGAGAACATACATGGAAAAAACAACGTAAGTTTACTGCAGTTACAGTTGGTCTTTATTGCTCTTCCCACATCGTGTGCACTTGCCTTAGTTTGTGCTTATGTATACTTAGATTGCAAGCTCGATGTTTGGAAACAGTTTATGATTACACATATTGTAAAATAAAACCAGTTTGCTTACTATAAGAAGTTACTTATATCTCTAAATTGATGAAGAGATTTCAGCTTTTTTCTGTAGAAATAACAAAATGTCTTGTCATTTGAACTTAATGCTTAAATTCTTCTAGATTTTTTCCCACAGACTTCTTAGTGGTGTTTGTGTACCAACCCATGACATGATTCTGTGCTGTTCTTCCCTTCCTGCTCTTTTAGGATCCTTCTTCCCCAAGGGCAAGTCCCACTCATTCCCCACGTGAAAACGGTATAGATAAAACCCGCCTGCTGAAGAAAGACGCCTCTAGCAGTCCAGCATCTACAGCCTCTTCAGGAAGTTCCACTTCTCTCAAATCTAAAGAAATGAGTCTGGTGGGTAGCAGCCTGTTGTCTAGATAAATGTTCTTTCTTGTAAAATCTAACTCTCCAGTCTCCTGCAACTACTTGTGGCAGAAAGTACATGGCTTTAAACATTTGAAGCTGAAATAGACTACTTTCCAGACTTTTATACTATGATTCAGCTTTTCTCATCAGCGGTATTTTCTGCTTAATTTTGATTTCTTGTGTTTCCTACATTGCTGTCAAATGAATTGCAAATTTTTTACAGAGTACATGAGTCGCTTAAGCATTGCTTATTTTTTCTTGAGCAATAGCTTATGGTTTAGCTTAGTCTGCCAGTCATCACTAAGAAGTTCTCCAGGCTTATTTCTCTTCTAAATAAGCTATAACTCTTTGAAAACTTTTCCTGTAGTATGACTAATAATTTGATCTGATTCTTTATAGCTTATGTGTCACAGTTCTTTTGATACTATCAACTGTGGTGGTATTTTGTTTTTGTACTTAGATTTCCTGTGTCCAATAATAATTGAGACAGTAATGATTTCAAGCTAAAATAATCTGGTGATTCATATTGTATTGTCCTGCAAAAAAAAAAAAAAGAGCTCGGGCATTTTTTTTCATGCCAATGGAAGAAGGAAAAAGAATTTTCGTTGTTTCTTTCTTATTTTAATTTTGGCAGCAATCAAAAAGGTCAGCATTTCTCTCTTACAAGTTAATGTTGTCAGCACTGTGTGGATTTATGAAAATTGGCTGAGGGACTAGGTAGTAGGTGCCCAGCATCCCAGCTGCTGTTGTGATAAATTGTATAATATGGCCTGGATTAAAAATAATACTCATTTAATTTGTTTAATGATACCAGCATGAAAAAGCCAGCACGCCTGTTCTGAAATCCAGCACACCAACTCCTCGAAGTGATGTGCCAACCCCAGGCACTAGTGCAACTCCAGGACTTCGTCCAGGCCTTGGCAAGCCTCCAACAATGGACCCTCTGGTTAACCAAGCTGGTAATGTATTACCTCACGTGTTTTTATGGTTCCAAAATTAATCTTTTTTTTACATGTGTAGTTCTGTGCGAATCTTAGCTAGATGTATTGCTTTGTTCTTGATATCAAGAGAGGGCTTGATGAGAAGCAGATGTCTGGATTATCAAGAGTTTGAATATTTCTCTCTTATCCTTCTTTGTTTACTTTTGTCTTTATCTTTTTTTGCAAATAATCTGGAGACTGAATGCAATATAAAAAGACTTCTCAGAAGTTTTGTAGTACTTACTCTGAATGCAATCTCTTCTCTTGCTCTTTGAGTCAACTAATACTTGCTGCAGTGTAAATCTTGACAAATGCAAGGGGAAGTTTACTTTTGCTGTTCAGGGTTGTACCACACAGTTGCTTCAGACATGAGCTGTGTAAACCATGTCTTTCAACTTTCCTGCTTAATTTTGGCAATAGAGAGATTAATGTAAACAGGGAAACATTACAGAAATGGAACTGTAATGCTAAGAAGAGATTGTTAGAAGTAAGTTTGGACTTCAGTAGATCTTAATTAAGCGAAAAGAGGTAGTGGTACTGACAAATTATGGCAGTGTTTCTTGTCAGTGCATGTCTGTGTCCTGGTCTCCAGTATGTGAGAGGAGAGGCTTCGTTATTGTAGGTGGGGAAAAAAGGGCTGTTTTCTTCCATATGTCAGGAATATATAAATAAAACTACTTGATTTCATTATTCTATAGCTGCAGGTTTGCGGACACCATTGGCAGTACCAGGACCGTATCCTGCTCCATTTGGAATGGTACCTCATGCTGGCATGAATGGAGAGTTAACCAGTCCAGGGGCAGCCTATGCCAGTCTGCACAATATGTCACCCCAGATGAGTGCTGCTGCTGCTGCAGCTGCTGTGGTTGCCTATGGAAGATCTCCTATGGTAGGCCATACGTTGCATGCAACCTCAGTCATGTGAGTTGTGGTTCACTGAGGAGAGCTACATGCTTCATTTAGCACTGTTGAATTCCCAAGCTGTAACAGCGCCAGAGACTTGGCAGCTTTAGTGGGTGTTTCACTTTGCTGAGTGGTTGGAGAAATAAATTTGCACCTTGAAAACAAAGAATCTCAGTGTATTTATGTATGTCTCCTTTTTTCTTCACCTTCATCAGTGCTTTGACTGATTAATAAAATCCAAAAAATTAATTTATGCTTTAAATTAAAAGCAGTTTTGGTAGCTATGAAATATTTCATTGATGCTGTGGACATTTGCTTTCCTCTTACTTCTCTTGTAGCGATAGGACAAGTGGTAGTAGTTTTAAACTAAAAGAGGATAGGTTTTGACTAGATAAAAGGAAGATACTTTTTTTTATAATGAGGGTGATCAATCACTAGAACGTGTTGCCCAGGGTTGTATTAGATGCCCCATCCCTGGAAACGTCCAAGATCAGTTTGGACAGGGCTCTGAGCAACCTGATCTAGTGGAAGGTGTCTGCTCACTGCAGGGGCATTTGACTAGATGGCTTTTAAAGGTCTCTTCCAATCCAAACCATTCTGTGATTCTATTAACTAGATTTCTGTTCTGTACAAAAATGTCAAATTAGTCTTAAAGCATGTAGAAATCTTTTTATCTACATCTCTGCCTTAGTATTTTCGATTTTTGTGGAAATCAACATGAGAAGTTGGACCATACATGTCTTGGAGGTCTGTGATAAGGTATATTAAGAATAGTTGCAGTTGTGGGTGTAGTAAGTAAATGGAGCATAGTGGTTATAGCTGCTGTAGAACAGAATAACCTAGGGGCGAGATTCTGCAAACATGAGCTTGATGGCAGCTTTATGCATAGAAAAAATTACCTACTTGTAAATTTGCAAGATTGGATTTAACCTTGTAATCTTGTCGTTATTGTAGATACAGTTACTTTTTTCAACCTAGTAAACAGGGCTTTTATGTGAAAATACACTTATCTAATACTGTGGGTAAAAGCCACGTTTTGGTTAAACACATCATATCTTGGGGGTGAAGAAAAGGGGGCTTGCTAAATGAGAAATTGCAAATGTGAGATTAATTCATTTTTCATTGTCAGGTTGGGTTTGATCCTCCTCCTCACATGAGAGTACCTGGAATCCCTCCAAATCTAGCAGGGATTCCTGGGGGAAAACCGTAAGTAACTTTTAACATTTTGGTAACAACTGTGATATCTAGAGAGAATAAAGTTATCTTCTGTCAGTGAACAAGAATTCCAAAGGGGTAGTGACAGGTTATTTCCAAGAGATTGTTTTAGACTTCTCCTGGGAAGAGGTGCAGCATATAAATTCTCAAATGGTAGTTGTCATATCCCAAAACAGATGTGCATATACCTGTTTCCACGGAAAAGCTGTTGAAGGTATACTTGAAGGTTTTTTTTATTTCCTCCTTTCTGGGGGAAGTTAAGGAGACTAAAAACTGGTAGACAGTTGTAAAATATGTAAGATAAAAACATACTGAAACTAAACTTCCTACTATACTGAGCATATACTAAACTTGCAGACTCCTTGTCTGGCACCTGTTTTGTCAGGCATAAGAGTCTGCAACTGTTGACCACAGTGGGTATCTGAAGCAGTTACTTCAGCAACTTTTGCACACCTTGTGTAATGGATCAAACTCTTCAAAACATTTGTGTAAGTGTGCATCTGGAGAACAATAGGATAATGAAGCAGTTGTGCAGCAGGTCATGCATAGATGTAGGAAAACTTTCACATGTTCTTTTTATTTAAAAGTTTTAATTATCAATGAATAAGTGGTTAAATGAAATACTTCTGTGATACTGTGGTTCATTAATGTAACAATGAAATAAATTCACCAAAACAGTGTACAACAAATTTTTCATTAATTTGGCTTTGGTAGACTGTTGAGACTGAGTTTATCCATGTGGAGTGGAGTCATGAGCATGTATGACTTCTTAAAAAATGGTTTTTTAAGTATTTCTGGACAACTCATCTCTGCAGACAGGTGCAAACAGAGCATAGACTGTAAATTTGACTCATCTGTTTTTTTGGAGAGAGTGAGGCAGAGGGAATTACAACAAGTTTTTCAATGCACTGTTAAAACCTGTTCTTTGTCCCTTTGCGCTTGGCATTCAGTCCTGTATTCTCTTTCAACAGAAAGTTGCAGTTAAGAGTAGTTTCTCTCTATCTAGGTACCTACATGATTTTGAAACTTGCTTAATGCTTTGCTCTTCCTAAGCTGGGTATTCCTGTTACATACTGTCTTCTTTACCAATCTATCATGGTTTATTTTTTCCTTTTACAGCATCAGGAAAAATTCAGAAGCTATTACTTTTCTGGATATACTTTTAGAATACTGTCTTAAGTTATAAGACCCACTGTGGTGAAGTTATATACACACATATTTCTGTTTGCCTTCATTTTTAACTCCTGTTAATAGCTAGTGATACGTTGTAATGTCAGTCATGCAAACATCTGTAGAAGTACACCACATTATAGGCAAAAAAGTGTGTATTTTCTTTTACTCTTTTTCCATAACGGTAGGAAAGCAGCAGACTTAGATTAGCAAAGTTATCCTGAATGTGTTTTCATTGTTATCCACCATACTTCTGAGAACAGACTTAGCTATCTGTTGGCAACGTGAGAAACCTGTTGAATGTTGGATTTACTTAAAGAAAAGTTGGTGCTATGTTGATAAGATTACTGATATGAGGGCTCAGTGAGTTAGTGTTATATATCAGATTGTGCTGTATTTTAATCTAGTTCAGTAAGGAACAAGCTTTGTTCTCAGAACGTTCTTTCATTAAGGGTCAGACTCATTCTTGCTGACTTTAGTAGAATTTGCTATACTTATAAAATACTTTTGAAGATTGCATAATCCAGTAGCTGTAATTTTTTGCTTTTAAACAAGTATATTCATAAGGTTTCAATGACTTCTATTAGTAATGCCTGACTGTTTTATATTATAAGCTATGAAGTGCTATTTTTGTTCAGTCAGAAATTTTTGGTGGCTGAATTCTAGTTTTTGTACTATTGAAGGCACAAAAGCAGTGCATGTATACTGCTATACTTTGTATCCTGGTATTTCATAACTAAATTCCATGGGGTTTTTGTTTAGTTTTGTTTTTATAAATCTTTTTATTTAGTGTTGTCAGCACTTCATTCACACTGTGCTTCTTACATCACCTACTTTGATATGTACTCACTGCTCTCCACTTGATAGGATGTGTTGTATAATGGTTTTTTTGTGGTTGTGTTAGTCAGACTGAGTTAGTAGTTTCCTCTAAAGTGATTTATTTGCTTATCTTTATTTTGAGTGACGCAAACTTACCATTCCATAAACTGATCTGTCATATTTTTACTGACAGCTTTAGAACGATCTCTTGTTTTATTCTTGATTGGCTACAGCTAGCTAGAGGCTGTCTGCTACCTGTAGCATCTTTGAGTATCTCTCACCTACATTAGGCAAGTCTCCTATATTTTCTGTAGAAAGTACATGGGTTATATAATAATGCAAACTAGGGGAGGAGTACTGGTTTATTTTCAAAATCTGTCTTTTCCTAGAGGGCAATTAATGTGCCACATTGAATTTGTTTTGTGAGATGCGGAGTTTTAGTCTGAGTCTTGTTGCAAGGGATACAGAGAATTTTCAAACTGAACTACTGAATCCTCAACCATATGTGTATGCTCACAGTTGCACATTTTTTATTAAAGGTTATACTGGGACTGTTTTTTCACCCAGCCCTGCTTCCAAGAGAAGATTAAGTTCCTTTCTTTCCAAAGGAATGGTATTTCTGATAGCACCCAGTTATTTTTAACCCCTGTGTATTCTGAGATCTGTTCATAACTAGTTTGTTAGAAAAAGTAGTAGCCTCTTAAGAACCCACCTACTTGTCTGTCAGCTTTTATCAAGGGTGTCTTCTGTAGAAAGCTTGTCTTTTGCTTTCCTTTTGCTTGCCTTGTTTTGTGACTTTATTAAATGTAAGTCTTTAATACCATCTTTTTATGTTCTTGAATGTGAATCTTTCAGTTTTGCTCTTTGCAGTCTTACCTTGTTAACAGTGGTACAGATGTACTTGGGAATTATACAAATGAGCTAGTCTTTGCATTTGGTATCAGGTTGTGTGGTTTTTTGTTTGTTGGTTTGTTGGGTTTTTTAATTATTTCCTATGAGACTTTTCCAGTTTTTCATACTACTTTGATATTTTGGTGTACACACTTGTGATCTAATACTAGTTTGCTCTCTTCAGCTGTTTGTAGTTTAGCAATTAATTTTATGGACAAGGACTTGGTGTGTATGTGTGTATATATGAATGTGCATAAAATCAGCTTTCATGTTCTTGGTTTCAAACTTGATTCTCATCGGTAGATTATTATTTTCGTAGTAGTTCTTTGGTATTTTTGTTTGTTTGGTTTGGTTTGTTTGTGGGGGGTTTTTTGTGTAGTTTTGTGGGTTTGCGGTTTTTTTGGTGCAAGGTGTGTGTGTTTTTTTTTTTCCTTCAAGATTTCCTTGAGCCATCACCTAATCAATAATTATCTTTGTCTTAAGCTGGAGGTGGGAAATCGGTACGAGTTTTGAACATGGACATGTAGTGTCTGAGTCTTGCATTCTGTTGTTTTGATACATTTAAGTATGCCCTGGACTGCAAGTTCTTGGTGTATTGCTGTAATTATATTTTTTGCTTTGCATAGACTTTCTAGTAAGATACTTATTTAGCTTTTAGTCTTCTATAGCTGCTAAATTAACATTCTTGTGGATTTGTCCTTATGTGAACCACACCTTCTAATAGTTAGACTGTGCACTTCACGCAGATTTTCAAGCTCAGTGGTAAGGTTTATGTCCACAGTGTTGCTTCCTTGGTGTCTAGAATTGTGAATTAATGGTAACATTGAGAACAAATGTATATATCAATATTTTTTTCAAATGTGATTTTAATTGAAGCTCCAGAAAGAGCTGAAAATACACATTTCTCATTTTAGTAGGAAAGGGAAATTTGATGTGGTGAATTATTTCCAACTTCTAATTATAAGCCGACTCTTTGTGTTTTTGTAAAGGAATAGTATACCATTCTGGAATCGCTCAGGGCAAAAGTTAAAAAGATTTCAGCTCTACTGATCTTCACACTTGTTCAGTGAATGAGGAATATTTTAAAGGAAGGCTAATTTTATTTTATTCTAGAATATCAAGTTGTTTTTTTTCCCCTTTATATCTCTGGATAGAATTATTTGATTACATGTATGAAGTTAAAAATTTTGTTATTTCTGTAAAAATACCTTTATAGAATCATAGAATGGTATGAGTTTGAACGGACCTTAAAAGATCATCTAGTTCCACCCCCCCTGCCATGAGCAGGGACACCTTCCACTAGACCAGGTTGATCAAAGCCTCATCCAGCCTGGCCTTAAACACTTCCAAGGAGGAGTATCCGCAAATTCTCTGGGCAACCTGTTCCAGTGTCTCACCACCCTCATAGTAAAAAATTTCTTCCTAATATCTAATCTAAACCTACCCTCTTCCAGTTTAAAGCCATTACCCCTTGTTCTACCACTATGAAAAAAGTCTCTCCCCAGCCTTCTTGTAGGTCCCTTCAGGAACTGGAAGGCAGCTATAGGCTCTCCCCAGAGCCTTCTCTTTTCCAGGCTGAACAGTCCCAACTCTCTCAGCCTGTTCTCATAGAAGAGGTGCTCCAACCCTTGGATCATCCTCATGGCCCTCCTCTGGACTCACTCTAGTAGATCGATGTCCTTCTTGTGTTGGGGGCCACAGAACTGGATGCAGTACCCCAGGTGGGGTCTCATGAGAGCAGAGTAAAGGGGGAGAGTAACCTCCCTTGACCTGCTGGCCATCCTTTTCTTGATGAAGCCCAGGATAAGGTTGGTCTTCTGGGCTGCAAGTGCACATTGGCAGCTCATGTTGAACTTCTTGTCCACCACCACTCCCAAGTCCTTCTCTTCAGGGCTGCTCTTGATCCATTCTCTGCCCAGCCTGTATTTATGTTTGGGATTACCCCAACTCAGGTGCAGGACCTTGCATTTGGCCTTGTTGAACTTCATGAGGTTTGCACAGGCCCACCTCTCAAGCCTGTCAGGGTCCCTCTGGATGGTGTCCTGTCCCTCCAGCGTGTCGACTGAACCACACAGCTTGGTGTTGTCGGTAAACTTGCTGATTGCCCATGTCACCAAAAAAGATGTTAAACAGAGCCGGTCCCGGTACTGACCCCTGAGGGATGCCAGTTGTCACCAGTCTCCACTCAGACATCTAGCTTTTGACTGCAACTTTTCGAGTGCAACTGTCCAGCCCTTATCCACCGAGTGGTCTATCCACCTAGTCCATGCCTCTCCAACTTGGAGACAAGGATGTCATGCGGGATAGTGTCAAATGCCTTGCATAGGTCTTGGCAGATGGCATCAGTTGCTCCTTAACTCCTCAGTTATCCTTATTTCTTGTTATTTTGTCTTATATAATGAAACACCATACTCAGATAATCACCATGTCTGGAGATAACTAAAACTAAAAATAAGCTGAAATACAAAGAAAAGCTGAAAGTAAAATGCATTCATCAGTAGAAGGAACTGTCTGCAGTTGGGGTGTTTTTGCGCTAGTTGATGAATTCTGTAATACTGTTTGAATTGAAGGGGGAAGTGGAAGTTTTTCGGGGGGTTTTTTAAGGCATGGTACTTTTAAGTAGACAGGAATTGCATGCATTGTATCAGTTTGAATACTTACAGGACCTGGCAGTTAGATAATTTAGTTGATTTGCCATGATCTTGAGTGATGAATTAATTATTCTGAACTCTCCTCAGCATGTCAGATGATACTTACTTATTATATACTTATTTGATACTTATTTGGAAATTGGAGGGCCATAATTACCAGATTTAAACTGAGAAATTGGGTTGTATTAGTATCATCTACTTTGTTGTATTGTATAGGAACTGTCTAGGTTGTCAGTGCTGCTTTGACACAGATGAGGAGAAGTATTTGGATGCAATAGATAGGAAGAATATTTATATTATTCAGAAAGAATATAATCATAAGTGACAGTATACTGTTTCTCAGAACTCTTTCCTAAATAAAAGGCATGCAAATTTGTCTTGTAACTGTTCTGTTCATAATATGCAATTAGTTAAAAGTGTATATTTACGTATTAATTGATATGTACTTGGCTTGGTTTATGTCAAATTGTAATTGCATTGTATAACAACTTTTACTTTGTTCGCTGTGGTTTTTGGCCCAACATGAGGAGAGGCTATCTTAATGCTAATAGTCATTTGACCAAAAAGAGATAATCATGGAACCCAGTCATTTCAGAGAGGCAGAATGCTGTGAGTGAGGCAGAAATCCATGATCATCATGAAGCTGAACAGCAGTTTATGATGAACACTGTCAGTTCTAAAAGATCATTGGAAAAGGACAAAAGTGCACATTACATTTTTTCAGTGTTACGGAATTCAGATGTCAATAGCAATTTGTTGAGGAGAAAGATGACCCTGAGCTTTGGAGAACTCAAGAATATACTAAATTGTACTAAATATTGACTCTTAAGGTTGGACAACCAAAATGCTTGTCAGTTTTGAGAATTCAGGCCTGTGAATATATCTAATGTGTTAAAAATTGAGTCATTTCTTAATCATATGTAAGTACACCTATGGCTTTGTAGGTGTAGCACTGGAAGTGCTGTCCTCCCAGAAGCAGCAGAGTGTCATGGTGATGTGATGGAGTGGTAGCCAAGGACAACAGCGACTGAGCTGTGAATAGTCATTAGCACTGCTGTCTCTAGGACTCTTTTCTGGAGTCAAAAGTTTTATTGTCTAGGGAGTGTCAGTCTTGCAAATGATGCAACTTTTTTTCAAATTAAAAGGTATGTGTAATGAAAATTTATACCATAATACCTGATAAAGTTACTAGACAACATAAGTGTGCTGACAGTGGTTGTGTAGGCATGAGATGCCAGACATATTCAAGCAAACAGGAACATTTACTTTTTTGTGTGCTTGTCTTGGCAGAGGGATTTGGCAATGTGTAGCCATTTCTTTGCACAGTGGATTGCTGATAACTTCCACAGCAGAAAAAACTGTCTTGGCTTGTAAGAAACTATTTCTGGTCTGTTTGTTAGTCCCTCAAAGTCAGTCATCCTGACCAACCAGTCTTGGAAGCAAATACCTACTCATAGTGATGGTAAAGAGACTACTCTTACAGTGTATATAATCACACTTTAAACACAGGCATACTGGTAAAATTCTACATGATTAAAAGTACCCTGGGTACGTCTTTGGCATTTCAGAGCGAAAGAATCATCGTGATTCTACAGCATGCACGAAGCACTTGAAAAATGTTTTTACTGTCTTCCTCCCATCCCATCTCAGCAAGAACTGAGAAGCTGTATGTATGCACAGAAGCATTTCAAAACACCAGTTATTTTGGTATTTTGAATTGAACAGAACATTTACTATGTAACCTTCCATTAAAAAAAATAATCATGTACAAGTCACTTATCCATCTTAAATATGCTGGAAAAAATTGATTACTTATTTAATTGTTTTTCTTCTGTTCATGATAAAAGCAAGGGCAGGCTGAGACTTCAGAGTTGTGCAGTTCTGTGTACTCTTTACTGCTAACAAATACTCTGCCACTGACTTTGATCTGGAGCCCAGGATGAGGACCAGATTTTCAGCCTCTTAAGTGCTATGACTCTTTATTTGGATTCTGTACCTGAACATGAGCAGTTGTTCAGCCTCAGGCAATCTTGTTGCCATTCCTCCTCTGCTTCTTCTTCCATCCCGTGTCTCGTCTGTTTAGTGAGTAGCTACTTTGGGACAGTCCTGTCTCAACTTCTCTTCACAGAGAAATGATACAGATTTCTACTTAAGCCTTTATATTGCTGTAATTGTTCATACAAAAAAAGATAAAGGGTCCTATGGGAATAAGTAAATTTGCTTTACTGTGCATCTTGTATACATGTAAGGGAGTGAACTTTGCACTTTTTTTCTTTTCTTGCATTTCACATTTCTGACATTTCCGTGACAAAAAAAAGATTTGTCATCTTTTGCACTCATCCTCTATTTCTGTGTATTCTCTGAGTAGGCTTTCAGCTCACATGTCCATGAAACATGAATGAGGTACAGGAATTGCATGTGTATGCACTATTAATTTCTTCTTTGTTTACTAGTAGTTACTGTTAACCAGGTTTTACCCTTCCCTTCTGAGAAAACGGTGATCTTGCATGGAGTGACTGTTTCCACTATTACCTTCTGTATGAAAGACCTGTAGAGTTTTTTCACCTCTCCGCTTCTCACTCCTTTTTAAAGGAGTATCTTCTGCTCTGCCACTGGGCATATTCAGTTGCTTTGTGATGTCTGTTACAGATCCAGGCATCTTGCTTGTTCCTTCCCAATGCTTGGAAACATGCAATAAAACACTTCAAAAATACTAGCTCAGAGTTCAGAAGATTAAATTGAATTATCTATTGTTGGGTCCTTGGAAGAGGGGTGCAATACTAATACTTGAACTACAGTGGCTGAAGATTTCTGAGGAAGAAGGTACATTTGGAAAAGAAAGGGCAACGCTGGACACAAGAACATATTACAAAAATAAACCCCCCTGCACCCGAAACCTTTATTAGCTACTATTTGTGTCCTGGTCCTTCAGTAGAGCTGACTTTAAATTTTTCAGTGAACATGAAGGAAAAGCTCCTCCAGGGAGGAGCTTTTTTATTCAGTGCTGGGTTTAACTTCCTCAACCCTCAGTTTCCATATGCTTGAAATCATGCACTCAATACAAATAAAAGGTGTATAGAAGTGCCAAAGCTACCTGTGAAACTAAGCCTTTCAGCTTTTGCAAAATACTTATTCAAGGAAACATAACTATGAGAAGATGGTGTCAGCTTTCTCACAAAGGTGTGTGCAACCACTTAGCATGTTTCTGTTTTCTGTTTAAAGCACTAATTACCAGTAGGAGAGAGAGGCATGGGAGCTCAGCTGGTGCTGATGTTAAAGATGAGGTGCAGAAAAGGAGCAAATGCTGAACTTTGGCTAGTGCTACTGCAAGGCAACAGGTGCATGCCCTGTGGAAGAAGGCTGCAAGAGTGATGCCTGGTGAGGGATTGCTGCTGCAGGACTTGTGGTGCTGAGACTTGGACCTGCCAGCTGGAAACCAGGGCCTGAAGTATCTTTTGATTATCCAGGTGGCTGAGGGATAGTAACCATGACCTTGGTCTGTAAAATTAAGGGTAGAATTGAACATGCTTCCCCACTGCACAAATACTTTAGGTGAGGCAAGCTGAAAACACCTATTGTTAATCTTTGCCTCCCTCTGAGATTTCATGTTGCTGTATTACCTAGCACTATAGCTCTGATTTTCATGAGAAAAAATAGGCAAAGAAAACATATTTAAAAAATACTGTGGGGTTTTTTTGCATTATAGGACTGTAACTGGCTGATTTTTGTTTGGTCTTCTCTCCCTTCCCCAAAAGAGCCTACTCCTTTCACGTTACTGCAGATGGTCAGATGCAGCCGGTTCCTTTCCCTCCTGATGCCCTCATCGGTCCAGGAATCCCTCGTCATGCCCGTCAGATCAACACTCTGAACCACGGGGAAGTTGTGTGTGCAGTCACCATCAGCAACCCCACAAGACACGTGTACACGGGTGGGAAGGGGTGTGTCAAAGTCTGGGACATCAGCCAGCCTGGCAACAAGAGCCCTGTCTCTCAGCTGGACTGCCTGGTAGGTGCACAGAAACTCGTGCACAAGGGTTGCTTCTGCTTGGAGACTAAGTACGGAAATAGCTGTCTTTGCCTGGATTTTGTTCATATTACAAGGAAATAGCAGACAGTTCTGATTCCTGCTTTATATATTTGGATATCTTCTTTTTTTAACACAGGTGGAGTTACAGAGGGAGTGCTAGTTTGTTCAGGGATAAATATCATCACTGAGGGTCAAATAACAGATTAGATTTCTGAGTAGAGAGTGTACCTGATTTTTTTTCTTTTTGGGATTTTTTTTTTTCTTTCTAGTCATGCTGAAGATTTTGGTGCATGAGTTTAAAAGGAATCAACCCTAGCTTATGCCGGGCTGCGAAGAACCTTTCTAGGTGTTTCACTCACACCAGGGGTGACAACCTCTTTTTATGTAAAAGGTAGCAACCACATAATCAAATAATGTGACGAGGTACCAGGGTCACTTTAAGTCTCACTGTGCTTCTGTTGGTGATCCATAAGTTACACATTTTGGTTGGTTGTTTTCACATCTGCAGGTTACAAAAGGGACTGAGTGCAGTAATATAGGTAGCTGAAAAGCTAACTCAGAAACATTAACAACTCAATAAAAGATGCTTCTTATATCAGAAACAGCATAGAAGTTTGTGAAATGTTAACTGAGAAGACTTAATGTAATAAAGCACAGTAATACATATTCTGAATGAAAGTAATTCTAGCTTCAATGCTGATCCTACTGAATGTGGTGGTTTTTTTGATTTGGTTTGGTTTTTTTAGTTTTTGCCCTTTATTTACTGCTACCCTTATGTTAGTTGTCTAGTAGTAAAATTATGGTTGAATCTGTATTCTGTTCTGTGGCAGGTATGTGTTTGGATGCACAGTCCTAGCTGCCTTCATTTCAGTTATGGAGCAGTAATGACTGACCAACTAAAACAACATTTCCACTACACTTACTTACTGCTCCTTTACTGTGAATGAAGAAAAAAAAAAAAAAAAAAAAGAAAGAAAAAAGAAAAAAAAAGAATTAGTAGTAGGAATGCTGTTGACTACTTCTTGGAGTGTTTTTTTGTATGTTTGAGTTACAGCTCTAAACCCCCCATTTCCTAAAGAACTGTTACTATGTTAATTTGGCAGCTGTTATAGAGAAATGGACATCCAGGACCCTTAAGGAGTTAAGCTTGTAATATGTGAAGGTTGAAATGTTTTCCACTTCGAAATCCCCTGTACTACCTCTAAATCAGCAATAGTATCACAAATGTGAAACTAGTAATATAAGTACGAGAAGAATCATGTTGAACAACAAAGGACCAATGTAACTCCAGGACCATTATGGGGATACTTAATATTTTAAGTTTAAAATGTTGAATGCAAAATAGTATTTGAAAGAAAACTTTAAAACCTGAAAGGCATGAGACTTGAACTGCATTTTCATATAGGGTTACCCAAATGTCAAATGAAAGGTCATTTGCTTCAATATTTCTATTGTCGGTGACCTTAGCTGATGGAGTGCACTTGCAGAAATGCAAGCTTACTTTGGCTCTGTTTTTGTGTAATGAAACGGAAGACTTGCTGTTCATCAGGTTTAAAACAGAGTAGACTGGGGCAACAGGACTCTGCACTTTAATTTCTGCAGCTGCAGTCTCTGGTTAGTGATGAGAAGTAGGTGTTTGAAACCTTTTAGGATCTGCTAGTTCCTCTTTAGTACTTTGGTAATGGAAAAAATAGCATACTGTTTAAAACTTGGATGCAGTCAGAATCATGTCAGTGGTCTTTATTGGCAGGCATGTATTAACATAACTGAGGGGATTTGTGTTATACAGAACAGAGATAACTACATCCGCTCTTGTAAATTGCTGCCTGATGGATGCACCCTAATAGTTGGCGGGGAAGCCAGCACATTATCCATATGGGACCTGGCAGCTCCAACTCCTCGTATAAAAGCAGAGTTGACATCCTCAGCCCCTGCCTGCTATGCTCTAGCTATCAGTCCTGATTCCAAGGTATGCTTTTCCTGCTGCAGTGACGGGAACATCGCAGTGTGGGATCTGCACAATCAGACATTGGTCAGGTGAGTCATTACTTGTTTATGGAAAACTTTAATGGATGTTACTCTTTGGACAGCTACATAAATATTTATATCCCTGAATAGTGGTTCATGACAGCAAAGTAAATAGTATTTCTTAGCCAAAGAATGTAGTTTGCACCTGAGTTGGGCAGAAACTGGTTTTGGTACCTTCAGGCTAATCTTGGAAGATGTGCTTTCAAGGCCTGAAGTGCTGATGCATAACCTGCTGCAGTCAGTGTAAAAATTCCTGTTGGTTTCAGTTAGTTGGGATTTGTCTGCAGGTTTCTACTTTAACTGCTTGAGAAGGTCTGGCACAGAGCCACCAAGATGATTAAGGGAGTGGAGCATCTCCCTTATGAGGAAAGGCTGAGGGAGCTGGGTCTCTTTAGCTTGGAGAAGAGGAGACTGAGGGGTGACCTCATTGATGTTTCTAAATATGTTAAGGGCGAATGTCAGGAGGATGGAGCCAGGCTCTTCTCAGTGATGCCCAATGGTAGGACAAGGGACAGTGGGTACAAGCTGGAACACAGGAGGTTCCGCTTAAACTTGAGAAAAAACTTCTTTACAGTGAGGGTGACAGAGCACTGGAACAGGCTGCCCAGGGAGGTTGTGGAGTCTCCTTCTCTGGAGACATTCAAGACCCACCTGGACGCCTTCCTGTGTAATCTTGTTTAAGTTCCTGCTCTGGCAGGGGGATTGGACTAGATGATATTTCGAGGTCCCTTCTAATCCCCAACATTCTCTGATTCTGTGATTCTACAAGCAGCATTTCTGCTAGTTTGTGATTGATGTAGACTGAACACACCTTTTAGCGAATTGTTTGAGATTCGTTCTTTTCCTTTGTCTTCAGCCTTGTTAAATAATAAAGAGAATTTTCAGTTCTTATTTAGTGATGATCAGTAGTAAAATTAATCTTACAAAAGCAGATGAAAGTGTGGATCCCCTTAGTTCTTTAGGAAAGCAGAAAGGACTCATATTTGGTCATTCATGAGAGAAATGTATTTGAGTTTTTTAGGGGAATTTGTTCTCTAAACTAGTAGAATGGGTTGCAAAGAGTAAAATAAATGGATTGTGATGTAAATTACTTCTGAAATCTTTTGCTAGGCCTTAAGGTGTGTATTAGTAGAAGGTTAAAGTGTCTGGTAGGTCAATATTCAGCATTAGTGCTATGACAGAGAAAGATAGGGCCATGTGTGAAATGGCTCTGAGCAACTAGCTGTGTGGTTTAGTAGAAGATAGGTTTTGGTTTATACATATCAAAATAGTGGTGACTTACAATATTATGAGATAAGAACCTAAATGGGGAAAAGCTGTGATATTTTGAAAGTTCTGAACACAGACACTGAGGAATCTGCTTAGTCTGCTGTGTTTCAATAAAATTTCATGTATATCAGCATCTAGCCTAAATGTATGTGCAGGGAGTCACATTGATGTGCATGCAAATTTTACTTTCTGTTGAACTTTTAGGTCAACAAAGAAGAGTTTAGCTACATAAAATCTTCAGTTTGCCCAGTGCATGCTTAGTCTCTGTAAAGGTGCACTCACTATCTATGACTGTCTTGTCTTTTGAATGTTTGCTGTAGGTGTTCCTACCATTTGCTGGCTGATGTTGCTAGTTGATAACATGGAGTTTTCAGACCACAGCTGCAAAACAGAGTGTGTTGCTTGACCTTCCTGTGGCAGCTCTTAGTGATTCACACCCTTCATTCCCAAACTAGTTGTCTTCCCTCCACACCCTCCACCTTTCACATTGAGGCATAGGACTTTCCTGAGGCTAATTGCTGATGAAATATGCATGAGTCTCAAAAGGCTTTTACTGAAGGATTAAGGAAGACTTGGGATGACCTTCTGGTTGCCGAAAACTGAGAGCTACTAATGAGAAGATTTTAAAACAAACAGCACCATTTAGATTTTTGTGATCTGCTGCCACAGATAATGCAATTTTGCTTACTCAGCAATGCTTGTGTTTAACTCTCTGGATCTCTGTGGAGATCCCTTCCTGTTAATATCTCTGCTTTTTATTTATCATCTTGACTTGCAGCCAAAGAAAAATACAGAAGCTGTTTTCTGAAACTAGAGTAGTTTTATTCCCTCAGTTCCTGTTTTAATCTGAGCTGTCCTTAGTGCTTTTAACCATAGTTACTGTACTTTAATATTCTTATACAAGGCTTTTTTTTCTTTGCTTTTCAAAATGTGATAGGAAGTATTTGCCTTTAAGCTAGCCATGATGCAATTAATTTCTCTAGTGCCTGGAAAATGTTTTTGTAATGCTGTTGTATTTCATGCTCATTAAGAGGGAGGGGCTGATTTTTGCCCATCAGCAGACACAGAAGAGATGACACACACATACAGAGTCCAAAACTAACACCACAACAGTGTTTACCTTGAGCTCTGGCAGGAAATCATTATTCAATCTGGTTTGTTTTATCAGGCAATTCCAGGGCCACACAGATGGAGCCAGCTGTATTGATATTTCTAATGATGGTACCAAGCTCTGGACGGGAGGTTTGGATAACACCGTCAGATCCTGGGACTTGAGAGAGGGGAGACAGCTACAACAGCATGACTTCACATCACAGGTAACTTGATTTTCCTACAGCCTGGGCTGGGGGGATAGGGGTGCAGCAGGAGGGAAACATTTAGGATGAAAGCTGAGATTGAGCCCAGTGCAACTGGCAGATTGTTCCCTCCCTTCCTTCCTTGCTATTGAACTAAGCAAATTTTATTTGTCTCTTCTCTCTCTCTCTCCCTCTCCCAATTAATGGAACCACTGTAAGGAAAAAAAAATATGTATCTGTAGGAAAAAATAAAAATGGTAAACATGGTTTAATTTCCAGATATTTTCCCTTGGTTATTGTCCTACTGGTGAATGGTTAGCTGTGGGAATGGAGAGCAGCAACGTAGAAGTGCTACATGTAAATAAACCAGACAAATATCAGCTGCACCTTCATGAGAGTTGTGTATTGTCACTCAAGTTTGCTTATTGTGGTAAGTTGACTTGAACACAGAACTGGAGGTCAGGGCTCTAATTCATGGTTTGCTGATTAGTTGTTAAGTAATCATAGCTCATTTGATAATCAAAACTCATTTAGTATATAATTTTCTTAAGTTGAATAAATATCTCTGCTTTATTAATTCAAATGTACTTATCTACAAACAACCATCCATTTGTCTAAAGGCTGCTGTGAAGGTTGATTTGTGTGTAAAAAGCTATTTCTACTTATACAGTCCAGGGATTTCCTAATATGTAACACACCACAAAAGCATGAGTGTCCACATTGATTGTAAGCAAAAGTACTATGTTGATTAGTGGTGAGAGCCTTTGTAATGCTAATTAGTTAACAGATTTAGCTCACAGATATGAATTGAAAAGCCAAAATCTGACAAATGTCTGTTTCATATGTTTTCATAGTCCTGTTTTGTATTTTAGGCAAATGGTTTGTGAGTACTGGGAAAGATAACCTTCTTAATGCATGGAGAACTCCTTATGGAGCCAGTATCTTCCAGGTGAGGATGATGATGCTTTTTAAAGAAAAAATAAAAGAACACCCAGAGTCCCAAGAGTAGACTCAGATATCATGACCTATGTGATCTACCCAAAATGGGATGCTGAGATGAGGGTAACAGACTGTTTTTTAAATGTTGTAATATATTTCTATTTTTCTTCTAGTCCAAAGAATCTTCGTCAGTGCTTAGCTGTGACATCTCTGTGGATGATAAGTACATAGTCACTGGCTCTGGAGACAAAAAGGCTACAGTCTATGAAGTTATCTACTGAAAAATATGATGGGGATATAACTTTTAGAAGTTGAACTGGGCCAAAATTGTTCTTAATTGTAGAAGTAGAAAGGTTTTGCCTTTTAAAAAGGAACAAAAGTATTGAGGTTCAAGACCTTGCCATGCCATGAAACTACTCCGATTTTTCAAAATAGAAGGCAACATCCAGCAACTAAATATTGGCTACGTGGACCAAATGGAACACAGAGGCAAGATGGACAGATGTAGCCTAGGTTTTTGACATAGTTTTTAAAAGCTGAGTCTACAGAAGAATGTTGGAGCCTTTTATTTTTTCTTTCTTTGTGACCTCATGCAAATTGTTCTCATTGCTTGAATACGGGGGATAAATACCTATCTGTTCCTTGCAGTTCAAGTTGCGTTCTGTCCTGTAAGAGCAGTGGTGTCTCAGATGAACTTATTTCCTGGCTTTGCATCTTGTGATATGTTTTTGTATTTTTGTTGAAGGTCAAACATTTGTATAAATTGTAAATATATTTAGTTTATTACAGTAAAGGCTTTAGTACCAACAACCAGTCTTCCCTCCCTGTCCCCTTCCTGCCCACCCTGCTTATTTAAAATTTAAAATCTTTTGGGGATATAAGTACCTTTTTAGAAGCAAAAGCAAACACTATGTATAGTTTGAAAATAGTGTCTTATTCTTTATAACTCTTCCTAGATTCCTTTATCATTCTTCAAAGTAGTTGTTTTGACATATTAGGGTATCAAGTCCAGTAGATACTGTCTTGTGCTACAGAAAACTTAAAAGGCAATTTTGTACTAATTATAGTGTAAATATAAAAATAGAACATTTCATAAAGTTGTGCAGTTTATTTTAAGTTTATTCTGATGTCCCATGTATATGTTCTTTGGCAGATACAGTAATAATGTGCCTGATCATAACATGTTTAGGCATTTCTCTAGAAAAAGAGGTGACTTCCCTCTCCTTTCTCCCACAGCTGAACAGAATTCATGCGAGACTGCATTTCAACTAAGTACATCAGAGCCTTCATTCGTTAACTGAGGATGTTTGTGATTAAACAAAGCTAGATAAGTTGCATCCTTCGTATTTTACAGAGAAGTGGTAGTTATTGACCATTTCCTTTTTAATGTTTTGTCTACACTTAGATACTCAGGTAAATTTAATTAAATTACCAAAAGTGTGAGTTTTACAGGGGATCACGTGAACAATGTTAAATACTTGCAGGGCTGCAAGTGAAGTGAATTAACCTAAACTAAATTAAACTCTCTTCTTAATTTCTTGTGAGAATATTGACAACAGAATATTTTGATTTTTAACTAATCCACTGTACAAATTAAATAGAATTAATTTTCCTGAGTGTCCTATGTGATGCAGGCCTATAGGCTCTATGTATTCATACTGAGAAGTCTTTGAGTCCTTTCCACTGTTGCATCAGTGCGTGGCATCTGTGAAGAGCCATGCTAAGCAGACAGTTACCAAAGCTATGCATCTTCAAATCAAGTTTCTTGGTGTACTCAAAAGAAATGGATGAGGACAGAATGTGTACATTTTATTCCAACTATATTTTTTCACATTAACGAGTTCTGTCACTGTGTGCTTCTCAAACCTAGCTATTGTTCCATTGAGGGCTGTAAGTTTCCTACATTCTGTAATTCAATTAGACTTTCTGTTGCTAATGGAGAGTACAGATGAACAGAAGGATATCTTTGAACAAATAATTCAGATTACGCAAACTGGCAGACAGGGTAAAACTCATCTGTGAAGAGCTGCTTTCTCACTTTGCTAGCATTTGACAATGACCTATAACCCTGCTCTTTCAAAGACATGTAACTAGGAAGAAACAAGTTTGACTGACACATGCATTGACTAGATAGGGAATTTCTCATCTGGGGGCAAATTTTCTCTCAATTTCCAGTCTGGAGAGACAACAGTTTTCTTTTCAATTTATGTGATCATTCTACTGAAACCATTTTATAGCATCTAGAGTTGTAATAGCCTTAATAGGTTAACTTTGCATTTGGAATGTAAAATGTTAACCATTCCGGATAATCTGGTTTCCTAGGCATTTAAAATTGTGTTCTGTCCGTATGTATCTATATTTTTGTCTGTTGCTATGTTGTGAATATCTGTCTGGGTCAAAATGACAGACCAGCTTAGGTGGTGGTCATACTCCTTTCACACATAGTAAGGCAAAAAGCAGAATCGTCAAGCTTTTCAAATAAATAATTATATTTGCTACATTGAAATACTGTGAAGTGCTGTGCCATTTTAAAAATAGTTTAAAAAAGAGTATGTAATAGGTTACTGGATTTTTATGCTGATGTTGTTTTAATATTGAAGTTTTTCTCAATGTCTGACTCTTGTTAATGATCATTGTCTTTGTTCAGCAGCACTGGCAAATTTGCTGTAGGTAGGAACATTTGGTTTTCTTTCAAGCTAATATCACCTTTCACTTTCACTTGATAGGTATTCTTTGGCCTTTCTTAGAAGTTGATATCGAAGGAACCAAGAATGCAGTATTCTAACACATTCCTGTAACTTCAAAAAAAAAACCCAAAACGCATATATCTATTGAATCTGTTATAAGTTGCAACATAGTGCTTGTTCGTAAGACCACATTCTTGGCAATTGGGAGGTCCAAGATCATAGTATCTGGAAAATCATTAAATACCTTTTCTTGTTAGCTTCTAGAATGCACAGTGAGTTAGAGCAGTTAATGGAATTGGACGTTATTTATGCATGTGAATGAATTTGATCACATTTGTACCATATGTTTCTTGTTGTTCTTTTTCCCCAATCAGTTCTACTTTAAGCCTTTGGTCTGAAAACTTGGGGACACATCGTACAATAGTCCTCTCAATTTTTTTTTTTTTTTTCCAGGTTCCACTTAGAGTTTGTAAAACTTTTTTTTTTTTTTTTTCATTTGTTAAACATTAAAGCACCTATTCCACCAGCAGATGTAATTTTTAATGAAAAGATACATTTGGTGAAATTGGCATGTCTGTTTGCATTATTACCTAAATGATTTAAAAACTTGTAGAGCTTAAAACTTATGTTAAATTCTTAGAGCCCTGTGTAAAGTAGTGGGTGGAAGTAATTGCTTGTTGAATGAAGAAACAGACCAACTCAGACCAGCAGTAACAGAAAAGGCACCGGGAAAAGCATATGGAAAAAAGAGGAGCAGCAGTAACTGTGGTGTAGGTAAATAATATTTTTTCGTCAATTTAATTACAATCCTAAAAGATTCCTTTGACTGGCCCCTTTCTGGGATAGTCTTTGTTTACTGGGTGGCCTTCAGTATTCGGAAGATGTCTGAATGCCACTCTGGCAAACAGTAGTGCCAGATAGAAGCAAGGAGTCCTTAAAAATGACATGTTGGATGTCAGTGCAAACAATAACTGATGCAGAAGAGATTAGTGGTAACGCCAATTCAACTGAACAAAATCCTTTGCCAGCTCTAATACGTATATTTTGTATATATATGCACTAGGCATAACCTTTTATAAATCAATTGTCTGGAAAATCATTGTATTATTCCACACAATACATTTTTCAGTGTGTCAGAGTACCTCTTTTTTTTATAGTTCCAAGCAAAGATAGTTCCCCACGTCAGCCCACAACCCGCTGGTCCTTGAGAGAGAGTTTTCATCAACAATAATTCTTTTAAACTAGTTCGGCATTTTAAAAGCTTTTGTCCCTTTAAAGGGAAGCGGGAATGCCAAATTAATATTAAGTTCATATACTGTTAAAATAATAGTGTTATCTTTAAATATAAACATCAAAGTAGAATCTGTTGTCTAGTCAAATGCATACTTTTGTGTATAAATGATTGACCATAATTTTTCTGTCACGTCTTTGCATTGGTGATGCTGGTTTAATTTTCAGAAGCATCTTACTTAAGTAACTTAAACCAGATTGACAAATTGATATTTTTGGTGGGTTTGTTTTGTTAGAGGTTTTTCTTTGTTTTGTTTTAGGGTTGGGGGGG